ACACAGCATCTATATTAACTAATGGAAAAATATTAGTTACTGGTGGAACTGGTAATAGCAGTGCTTTAAATAGTACTGAAGTGTATGACCCATTAACAAGTGCTTGGACAATTACTAGTAATATGAATAATGCACGAGATTGGCACACAGCATCTGTATTATCGAATGGAAGAGTATTAGTTGCTGGTGGAGGCAATGGTAATGTTTTAAATAGTGCTGAGCTGTATGATCCATTAGCAAATACTTGGACAACTACTAGTAACATGACTAATGCACGATCTCAACACACGGCATCTGTTTTATCAAATGGAAAAGTATTAGCTACTGGTGGATACAATGGTAATACTGGTTTTTTAAATAGTGCAGAATTATATTAATTATTTCAAACAAATTAACTATCAATCATTTTATTCTTTTTCTTGCAAGTAGCCCGAATTCCAAAACAAAACTTTAATTAGAACAACTGTCATCTTATGATATCCACGAACTGTTTCCTTTCATATTTTTATTGAATTATCATTTATTTTAATATTCGATCCCAGATAAAAATATATATCTTTTGTTCTGCTCTTATGTATTAGTTTTATAGTGTAATTTTTCATAGTATTTAATTATTTTGATAGTATCCATCGGATTTGAAACGTATGATTATTGAAACATTTTGGTTACAAAATAGTTCGAAGTAAGTTCATGAATGGTACAGGTGAATATATCTGTAGATAACAACAACAAATAGTCTAAAACAAATGTCATTCTTTTATTTATTTAACTGAATCTAAATTTGAATAAATGTCATCTTTTAAAATAAAGTGAAAATTGAAAAACGAACGTTAATCATTAACACACTAAAATAAAATGTATTTCATTTTGCGACACTATAAAGTATACGACAATAATTATTTGCAAATCTTAATTTTTTATTGAATAAGCTAAATAATTCAAATTTAGAGCATCGTTTCTTGTTCATCAGAGTTGCCATTCTTTGAAATTTCATTGTCCTTGTGTTTTCTAAAAAAACATCGAAGATAATTCGGTTTAAAATATACTGAAAGAATATTCACTTTTGTTGATGAACACCATGGAAATATTTCATTTCGAGATATTAATAATAATGGATCAATTATTTTTGAATCTTTTGAATCTAAATATAAAATATTTTTGTTAAATTTTTAATCTCAATTAGAAAATTTTTACCAAGAATAAAACTAAAAATAAGTCCAAGAATAATCATAATGATAGTACCATTAAAAATAATCCAGAGAGGAGATATTGAAACTAGAAAAATATAATTTATTCTTGCGTTATTTCATCTCGTCGATCTCCGTACCTTTGTTTTGTTATTGTCGGTGAAAGAGTAACATTAATGGATTGAACACATCCAACAATCGAATTTGGTAATCAGCCTCCATGTTTATTTGCTGGTCTAACAGTCAATATGTATCCAACAAGCATAAATATTTGAAATATTAAACAGAGAAAAAAGGCAACAACAGCACTCTATATAGATTAACATAAATCATTCACTATCTCTTGAAAAAAAAATTAATATTTACTCGACTTTTAACTCGTGATGAAAATAATCCAAGTAAATATACACCTAGGATTGGAGCAGCAAATGTACCAAAGATTTGTAAAATTATCTTTATATAACAAAATATTTATCAATAATTACATTAACTCATATCCTATACTCACAGTTATCATATTATTTTCCATATAAGATACAAAAAATGCAAGAACTACTGTTAAACAACCAATTATTACAGCTATAAAAACGACAAAAGTAAATATGAACCAATAGAACAATATTTACATAAGATTTTTGAAAAAATAACTTGATGTTTATCCGACATTGAAGATTGTTTTGATAAACGTTTATAAATATCTTCAAGAATAACTGTTGCCATACTATTTACTCCACTTGAAAATGTACTTAACGTTGTACTTAATATACATGATATAAAAAGACCTGTTAAACCAGGTATTCGTCCTAATGTTTCAACTACAAATAATGGATATAACTAAACAAATCATTTCATCTTGAAAATTTATTTTTTTCTCATTCTATTTTACTTGATCTGGTCGAGAAATAAGTTTCGCACGAAGAGGATCACATTCATTACATAATTCGTCCATATACTCTATGCAGAAAAAGAACAACATAATTGTCAAAATATTTTGTTTTTCTTAAAAATATACTTTTGTGCTGATTTAGTATCTGTAACACACATATATCTTTGGGCTTGAGTTTGTATACATGCATATTGAGCTGTACTAGAAAATGTACTACCTATTAGAATACTCCAAATTGTGTAACGAACAGATGGATCAATTGTTACACTAAAACTAATATTCATAAAGTTAAATTCAAAATCTTGTATACATTACACTGATAATTGTAGTCGATTTCCATTTTTTAATGTTTCAAATACTTTTGATATTCCACCAGCATCAATCAAACTTTTTTTTTTGTTTTTAATTTAAAATATAAAAGAATTTTTTATAAGGAAAATACCATAGATAATTGATAAAATAAGTCCAGTAAACATGACAGTTGCTTGTATAACATCAGTCTAAATAACTGCTTTCATTCCACCCTATGAATTTTATTTTAAAAATAAAATATTTAATTATTTTGAAATTTATTTTCCTACAATACTTGTATAAATTGTACAAACTAAACCACATGCTCCAATTGCAATCCAAATATTTAATCCCGTTACTTGACTCAAAGTTAAACTTGGTCCATAAAGAATTACAGACATATATAGAATCTTAATAATGCATCATTTTATAGAAAAAAAAGAAAAAAATATTTGATTTTCTATTTACTGTGATTAAAATAAAAGTACATGTGACTAAAATACGAATTGTTAATGAAAAACGTTGTTCAAGATACTATTACTCATAAAGAAATTAATGACTTCTAATAGAAATTATATTACAAATACGTACTGCATAGATACTAACACTTCCAATTTGATGAAATTTAGGAATAAAAACTTTCATTGTTATATATGTTGCTGAGAATCATGAAAATAAATCGTTTTGTAACATACTAGAATAGACCAACATTGTTCCATAATAATATATTTCCACAGGTACACCAAGTAATGATGCTGCAGAAGTTATACTTGCCATTAGACTCATTGCCGTTGGTAAAATCTATTATAAGACAAAAAATACATATTGATCAGAAATCAATTTAACGAAAATGAATTCACCTTCATTCGACCATCAGCAACAAGAAATTCTTTGGTAGATGTATGTTTTGATTTTATAGATCCTTGATAAATTCCAATACCACCTGAGAAAACTAAAATATTAATTAAATGAAAAATTAATTTGATTCAAGATACTATGTCTTACTCAAAAGTAGAACAAAAACAGCGTAATCAATCCAACTGAGATACATCTAAAATAAAGTCATGTCTAAATAATATGAAAAACCTTTTTTGTCTGTTCTTTAGTTTTAAAGAGATAATATTTAAATATTATTTTATCCTTGAGGTTTACTTTGTTGACTTATGTTTCATATTTCTATTCTTTACTTGTTGATATCTATGAGAGAAAAAGCATGCGAGAAATTAAAATTCTCTTTTTCCTCATATAAAACATAAAGTCTTACAGACTAACTACGAAATAAATGATTTGTATGATCATCGATTGTATCATAATAAATTGAAATTTTATTTTATAATTCAATATTTCTCATTTCTATTAGAATTTTAATTGCATTTCAACGATCTTTAATATCTTGATGATTTATAATAAAACTATATTGTGAACCATCAAATTGAGGGTATGGGTGTCTCTCTTTTATGGTTTCATTCACATCCACCACATCCACACTCACATTCTTATTAATAGCTAGAATATAACAATGCAAACAGAAATAGTATCTAGATTTTTATTTCGTGAGTGTATGAACTTAAGCCGCCGATCTATATATACAATATCAATTGATGAAAAAAGAACATTAATATAATACAGTTTTTTAATGTGTTTTAAAAATTTAGGATCATTGTATTTGTGTAGAATAGATTGTTTTAAAAATGTGAGAAAGTTTATTCGAAACTGACAATTCTTGTTTGATTATATAAATCGTCGTCATTATTATTTTGACGACGATGTGTACCTTGTGATGGTTGTTGTTGTTGTTGATCAGGAAAACGAAATTGTGACCCAAAACCACGTGATTGTTGTAATGTTTGAGCAAATATTTCATATTTACGTATATCATTATCACTAACTGATCGTCGAGCAAATTTCATAGCTTCTTCAAAATGATCTCGATGAATTTCTGGTACTAGATTGGGTTCATCTGCATCGATTGCTGTTTGTCCTCGACGTTGTTGTTCTCTTTGACGATTAATTTCCTTTTCAATCGATTCCCGGATTGCTGATTTACAAGCACCTTGACAAATTGCTGTTAAATCAGCACCAGTAAAACCGTTGGTTACCCTAGCCAATAAATGTATATCAACATCTTTTGCTACAGGTGAGTTTCTTAAAGCAGCTTTTAAAATAGCTACACGTGATTTCTCATCAGGCAATGGAATATAAATTAATTGATCAAGACGACCTGTAAGAATGATTTAATTGATTAAGAAAAGAAATACTATCATTGTATTACCTGATCGAAAAATAGCTGGATCGAGAACATCTGGTCGATTGGTTGCACCAATAATAAAAACATTTTTCTTTGGATCCATATCGTCCATTTCAGTTAAAATTTGATGAATAACATGATCAGCTGTACCATCACCATCACTACCACTTCGAGCTTTTGCTATAAATATCAAGAATAAAATACAAATATTCTTGTATTTCTTTTCCTTTTTTTAACTTACCAATGGAATCTAAGTCATCAAAAAAGAGTACACATGGTGCTGTTTGACGAGCTTTATCAAATATATCATGTACATTACTTTCGGATTCACCCGATAACATAGTTAATAATTTTGGACCTTTAACTGGAATAAAATTTGCTTGACATTCAGTAGCAATAGCTTTTGCTAATAATGTTTTACCTAAAATAAACCGAAAAAAACTATGAATATAAATAAAATTAGATATAATATATACATACCACAACCAGGTGGTCCGTAGAAAAGAATACCACGTGATGGTGTCATACCAAATTTGAGAAATTTTTCTGGATGTTCAACAGGATATTGAACAAGTTCTTGTAATTCACGTTTAACACTTTCTAAACCACCATTATCTTTCCATGTTGTTGCTGGTATTTCAACAACAGTTTCACGTAAAGCTGATGGATTCGATTGGTTAAGTGCAAATCGAAAATTTTCTTGTGAAACAGCTAATGAATTAAGAATTTCAGCATCAATTGTATCCTCTTCTAAATCAATAACATCCATTTTTTCTCTAAGTTGTTGTAATGCTGCTTCTAAACATACTGATGCTATATCAGCACCAACATAACCATGTGTTTCATTACCAATTTGTACAAGGTCAACATCATCAGCTAATTTCATATTTTTTGTATGAATACGAAGAACTTCTAAACGACCAACAGCATCAGGTATGCCAATAGCAACTTCACGATCAAAACGACGAAGTGCTGGATCAATTGCATTTGGTCGACTTGTTGCTGCCATAACAATAACATTTGAACGTTGTTTAAGACCATCCATTAATGTTAATAATTGTGATACAATACGACGTTCAGTTTCACCATTCGTTTTTTCACGTTTTGGTGCAATGGCATCGAGTTCATCAATGAAAATAATAGCTGGAGCATTCTATAAATAAAATATTATTGAATAATTTCTTAATTTTAATCATTTAAAAAAAAATATTATGTATTTACTTTTTCAGCTTCTTCAAAAGCTTTTCGTAAATTTGATTCTGATTCACCAGCTGATTTAGATATAATTTCCGGTCCATTAATTAAGAAAAAGAATGCACCTGTTGCATTTGCTATAGCACGTGCAATTAAAGTTTTACCTTAAATAAAAGTTTTTTTTTAATTATCCTGATTTTTTATCGATCATACCTGTGCCCGGTGGTCCATATAAAAGGATACCTTCTAGCGGTTTAAAACCAATCGTTTGGAATAACTGTGGATGTCTTAATGGTAATTCAACAATTTCTTTAATTTCTGCTAATTGCTTTCTCAGACCACCAATATCATCATAACCAATTTCATTCAATAAAGCTTCTACTTCTTTACGTTTAATTGGATCACCTTCACAATGTATCACTGTATCAGGTGCAACAATACAATATGGACTTGGATCAGTATCAATAACTTTAAACTCAACAGCACGCATAGCTGTACGAACAATGAAAATATCACCTTTTTTTACCGGTCAATAAGCTTCAAGAAAATATGGTTTTAAATAAACTTCAAATAAGTTTCCTGTCATTCCTTCTACAGTGTCATCAATAGGTAAAACTGTTATACGTTTACCATATCTTGCATCTGAACAAGCTTGAACTGAAACAGTATCACCAGGACGTACGCGCAAATTATTTCGTACAACATGATTCATTCGAATACGTTCATTTGAACAATTGTCATCGGCAAGAACAATACATATTGTTTCATGACGTTTTTTACCTTTGACCATTACAGTATCACCACGAAATAATAGTAATTCATCCATTTTTTTTTGTGATAATGCAACAACACTATTATCATCATTAGTTGAATCATCAACAAGTAAACGATTTGGACGTTCTTTACGATTTAAAACTGCTGTTGCAATTTTATCTTCCTCTATTATATCAAGAATTCGTGCCATGTTTTCTAATAAATAAAAAGACTTTTGATTATATCTAGAAAAAAAAATTATATAGAAATGGATGTTAGCATCTAGTATAGAAAGTAGTAACAGTTCATCAAGCAATTTAACTTCTTGCATGGCGCTTCTGTAATTTCATATCCTATATCAGAATATATGACTTCTTTTGAATGTCTTCTGATGTGTGAGTAAATATGAGTATGGGTGTCCTGTTCGTTGCACGTCTATATCCACTCGTGTTTCCCCACTTTGATTTGACATTATAAACTGTTCCTGAAATGCGCATTGTGTAGCCTTATATATTGGTCGTATGATATGCTGTTGACTTTTTCCTATCTACAAAATATTACGTAAATGACAAGATAGAAGAGTTTGAGTGTTGAATCACTACTTATATCTGCATCTGCGTACTTCTCGAATTTCTCCAACCATTGATAATAAAGAACACCATAGAACGAAGTTTTTTTCTTGGTTTTTTCCATTTCTGTTTTATCTCTGACAACATACTTCAACTTTCTTTTTTTTATATACAATCAAGATCGTTATCTGCTTTACGACTTTTCTTTTTTGGGTGGGTGTGGGTTTGGGAGTGGGGTTGGTTGTGGGTTTGAGTAAAGAGAACATACACCCACACTCACATTCACACCCACATCCACCTGCACTCACACATGTAGGCTCTCACATACACCCTCAAGAAAATTTCTTCATAAAGTTGGAAAGAAGTCTCTTAGTTGGTTATTTACTATCATTACATTGCAGCTTCTTTGAGTCATTTTTGTCTCTTACTACAATAAGATAATATCTTGAATGTAGACTTTTATTATCTGCACAAGTTGAAACAACAGAACAATGCAAAGTCGACTCGTCGGCCAGGAAAAAACCAAGATATACAATTGTTTCATATATATATATATATCAGGTAACTCATAATAAACGGGCGCATTCTGTATGCGATATTTTTATATTAAAATACGTTACATGGAAAAAAATATACCAAAAGATGCAACATGAAAAGCTCGACAAGCTGCACATTAACGCTAGCTCTACGTATGTTGTTTTGGTTCTTTAATGAAACGCATTTTACTATGAAAATATGGTATACAAAATGGGGTCGTATCTTACGAGCCACTGGATAGTTCACATTAAGACAGATGAAGATGTAGGTGGGGTAGTGAGGGAACCACTCCAGTTGATTTTGCATACCCTCACCGTAGTATCATCAAGTTGTGGCAATTCTCTCGGATCAACTGTTTTTATCAGCATTCTATATCGATATCAACAGCGAGAAGACAAACTATGTTTTCTTCTTATTAATTCAAATCTTTCAAAAATTTATTTTATTTTCTTCATATTTTCAGACGAAAATTCACGTAAAATAAGATGAAAGCATATAATTTATTATTAACACAATTAGATGATACACAAAATCATGATGATTATAACATTGTTTTGTTTGGTTCAAATAATAATATACTAAATAAACGGTATATTGTTGATTATTTGGCAGAATTTGATTCTTTTGAAGCTTGTGATGATTATATAAAAAAAATTAAAAGCGAACGGAAAATTCTTCTTGTTCTAACCGATTTCTTTCAATATTTATTATATTTTAATGATCTTCATCAGATTCCATCAATTTATGTGTTAAAAGTAAATTCTCAAAATCTAAATCATAATCAACAAAATTATCCAAAACGAATTAATGTTTTTACAGATGAACATGCATTGATTGAACGATTACGTCAAGATATTCTATTAACATATAGAAATGATTTACCAATGAGTACCACATTTTCAAATGAAATAAGCATTGAAAAATCTTTAACGAGTTTACACGGGGATGCATTAATGTTTGTATGGAATCAATTATTTATTTATTATCTTGTTAATTCTTCTAATGTAGATATGAATAAATTAAAACAAGAAATGATTGAACAATGTCAATTAGAATATCGGAATGACCAAAAGGAATTGGACAAAATAAATGAATTTGCTAATAATTGTACCTATGATAATATAGTGAATTGGTATACAAGAGATTCATGCATCTATCGACTTGTAAATAAATCATTTCGTACGAGAAATATTGATTTAATTTGCAAGTTTCGATATTTTATCATACTTTTATATAAGAAATTAAAAGAATTATTTATACAATAATAACAATAAATTATACAACTGTCTATCGAGGACAAGGTATGAAGATAGATCATCTTCAAACTTTAATGTTAAATATTGGAAAACGTATCTCAACGAATACAATTATGTCAACATCACGTAGTAGAATTGCTGCTGAAATGTTTTTAAACTATGATGAAGTTGCTGTTCTCTTCGAAATTAACATTACGAATGCTAATTGTAATACTATTCACGTATTTGCAGATATTTCTCAATTGAGTTCAATTCAGGATGAAGAAGAAGTATTAATCTTTGCTGGTGCAGTTTTTCATATTGATTCTATTGAAGAAGATAATAGTTCATCGTTCATGGTTATTAAACTTACGTTAATTAACGAAACAGGTGAAAATTTTGAGCAAATAATGGAACATAATAGTTATAAATTGGCTTCTCAATTATTTTCTAAGAAGACCCTTACGCAAATTAATGATGTTAAACTAATGGGAAGATATTATGATTTATTAACAGATAAATTAAGTACATGGGGGATGCATTAGCAAATAAAACAGATGTTGATATTTATTATCTATTGAATAATTTTGGTAATCATGAAAAAAAGATAGAATATTATAAGAAACTTTTAATGAATGAAAAATTTATTGATCTTCCGAAATTTATCGTTCTTCATATAATTATTGGTTATAATTCCTTTCATATTTCGAAATATGACGATGCATTAAATTATTATAACACTGCACTCGACTCATTAGATGATGATGATAAGAAGTCAAGAGGTCATCTTTATGATCATATTGGAGATGTATATAAAATGAAAGATGATTTCGAAAATGCATTAAAGTGTTATGAGCAATCATTAGAAATGTTACGTAGTCAATATTATAAAAAACGTTGTTTTCCTATTATATGTAGGAAAATAGCGGAGATACATCAAATAAAAAATAAACATGAAAAAGCTATTTCTTATGAAGATGAAGCAGATCAATTAGATAAAATTTATAAACGAACATCAGATGAAAATCATGAAAAAGTCTTAGAAAAGTATCAAAAACAATTAAATACTCAATCTGATCTTTCGCCACGTGAACGCGCCGAGATACTACTTTTAATGGGTCAGTGTTTGGTACAGAAAGGTGCTTCTTCTCAAGCAATAGAAATTCTTCTACAAGCAAAGCAACTATTCAATGATCATTTACCATCTTATGATGACTTTGCTCGGACATTTACTACACTGTTTGATAATATTGCTTTAGCTTATTTACAGTCAAAGGATTATTTCAATGCATTGACTATGTGGAAAAGATCGATTGACATACGTACATGTTTTCCTAAGTAGTTCTATTAATTTCTGTTCAATAAAAATATAACCTAGCCGAGGCCGATGCATAATGTACGGCTTTTTTTATGATAACAAATCAATGATAGACATATGACAGATGTGTATTGATTCGTAAATCTATCTTCTTATCTATAATCACAGTCAAACTCTCATACATCTACTCTCAACTCAAGTTAGTTCACTTGAGGATCTGCTGTCGTACAATCCTTTCCACACCCACTCAAACCTATCGTGATATATAATTACTGTTATGACTTGACTACCATATCATGTTCACTGAAGTTTTAGAGTATTTCTTTCAAAAAAATTTGTGTCTATTCGCTTATACAAACAACATAAATATTTTTCACTCGATTTTATTTTATTATATTGAATCAGTTCATAGAAAAAGAAAACTTTTGATGTTAGCAGTAACAAACTTTGGCGCATGATCTTTTAACGGTAACGGTTTTCTTTCTGATAACTTTGCAACATGGTTTGCAGCAGCACACAGTTTTACGTACACAACAGCATGGACCACAGCAACAATCACAGCAAGGATCGCAGCATGAGCAACAACAAGGATCACAGCAAGAGCAACAGCAAGAATCACAACAGCATGGGTCACAACATGAACCACAACCGCAGCCACAGCCACAACCACAACCACAACATGATGAACGACAACAGCCTGGCATATTAATAGTAATAATGCAGTGAAGAATAAAACTGGAGTACGATGAGAACTGGTTTGTGAAACTATGAGAATAGGTATGTCTATATATATAGAGGGAGAGAAACGAAGAAAGTTGTATTCAATAGACAAAAACAATTAATTACTATTCTCATATGACAATACCTGACATGCACATGTGATAGAGTAACATACGGAGAGAAATAACTAACGCTTTGTTACTGTTCATGCAATCCATCAAATAACAACTACTATTGTATATCATTTCTTTTTCACACTTATTATCAATATTTTTCTTTGATTTGTTTCATAGTATGGAAAACATCTAAATTTAATTACACATTCACGTTGTGACCACAACTCTAAAAGGGTAAAAGTCATTTGATATACCTTTTGATGAATCAAAAAAAAAACAAATTAAATGTTTTTTGACAAAGAATACCATGGAGAAAAATATATAATATATGAACACAATAACAACAACAACACTGATTTCATATATCCTTTGTCTATGAATGAATGTTTTTATGATACAAAGACGTATAAAAGTGAATGCAGAATGAGTGAGATACATATGATAAACAGACACCCTCAAGAAATAATGTTCCAGAAAACGAACAATGCAAATATTCAAGATTGCTTAGTAATGGCTTATGTGTGTTATTATAGAAGACAGTAATATATAGATTTATTCGACTTAGTATCAATTAAAAATGAACATAAGTACATTCATGAAACATTTTTACCACGCATTTATCTTTTTTTTTTATTTTAATGGTTTCGTTATCGCACAAAAAGCTGCATTTGATACGCATCCATATTCGAACAATGGAACATGATTCAACACAAAAGGCATGTATTCACTTAATTAAATAGTGTGAGAAATGAATATAAGGATAAGATTAACAGATAGATATAGCTTTGAGTATACAAATTCAAGAAAGTTATTTTCAAATAGAGCAATTAGTATAACATTTTGATTTTCATCGGCTATAAATCTATATTCAAATTTGAAATAATAGATATTGTAACGCATCATATAACTCTTCTTTCATCACCCATTGTTTATGCTTCATACTCTTTTTATCTTTTTGATGATGAACAATTACTGATTTTCTTCCTCGCTGTTCACAATCTTCTGTTGTCGCACATCGATGCATCTCCAAAACCCAACCAAATCGTGCTTTTTGCTTTCGTAATAGTAGTTTTGTTTGTTCATACCTTATTGATCGTTGTCGTATCAACTCATCATCAGCTAATATAAATGCTCTTGCATGTCTCGTATCACTATCAAAATCTATTTCTCTTGAAGTTAGCAGTCGTTTTTGTGCGAAGTATTGTTTAGATCGGTCTTCGTGGACTTGTTGTTTGCGAGCTGCTCTTTCCCACAGTAGTTTTAGTTTTGTACTCACTACATCAGCATTAACTTTCGCATGAAATAGTCTAACGTGAACTCGGACAATTGAATTTGGCAATAAACTATTGAAAGCTATTTTTGTTAAAATTTTGAGATGGACATTATTTGCTTCTTCAAATTGTTTGAGATTGACACCATTTTCACCAATGAAACAGTATATAACCGAAGCCGAAGGAGCCAAAAGATCGATTAGAAACGACCGTGATTGTTTAGCTAAAAATACAGAAAAAAGAGAATGTAATCTGCTATGATAATAACTAGCTTAGAGCTATATTAACTTTGACTTACTTGTCTTCGTTTGTTTGTTTTGTGACGGCCAAGTAGGCATCTCCTGTGATGTCATTTTGTCAACTTTCTTCACTCGACAATGTTTACTTTCAATATGTTCATCTAATGCTTTTTTATGTGTAAAAGCTTTGATTCGTGAACATCCGAGAATAGAACATTTTAAAACACGATGTCTGATATTTACTGCTTCGTCTATTGTTCCATCTTCATGCTGAACAATATTAAAATCAAATAATTCATCAACGAATGTTGAATTATCTTTAGTCACATATCGTCTCGAATGGGTTTTTAAACTATGCAGATGGAATTGAAGACATCGTTTGTTGGTTTCATCGTTTTGTGTTTGAATGTAACCAACATTAGTTTCTTTATTGAATTGAGTAATACAACCAGATACCGAAGTCATTTTTTTATAATAATTTCAATGCAACAATAGAAGAACAGAAGACAGTATGAGAAATAGTGAGTAGAAAAAGGATTTATATATCATTTATCATCTTGCATACTAGTTGAGACAGAACGAGATAGTGACCTGTTAAGTGATGCAATGTTGTCTTCTTCCTAGATAAATAATGTTGAAATCAAACGTAGTATGAGTCATATATCGTTGGAAAGTATTCTATTGCAGCTATATTCTACGAAAACAGTGTGCATGTGGGTATGACACGTAAGAACGACTTTGTTGTTTTAATTCCTCAAGTTCTTCTCTATCATAGTTACGGTCTTTATTGACATCCCGTCACGTTTTAGATGGTACCAGTTCGTAACTTCTTTGTGCCATATCAACAAATCATTCATTTGTGTTTTTGCGAAAAAATCGGAACATTAGTTTCTCTATTCAAAAAATAATAGAAATAAAAAGTCAAATATGAAAAAGCTTATAGAGATTCATTATTTTATATTATATCAAATGATTCATTTACGGGGATCTTCGATAGAATGCATAATATACATCATCCACCCATATCGAGAATTATTGTCGAGACATGAAATAACCTTAGATAAGTCACTAATGACTATTTACCTTGATGGGTGGGTGTGGGTGTATCTTATTTATCTCATCCACACCCGTCCACACGATACACAAGAAGAAAGTAGATATTGGCATTTACAGAGAAAAAAACAAGCTGAATAATATGTAAGACGTAATACAGATAATTAAAGAATAAGCAAACGATCGAAAAGCATTAGAAAAATCGTCAATTGAAAAAGCTAGCATCGAAATCTGATCCGTTGGGAGTGTGCAACTGTCGTCCTCGCTCATCTTGACACTCCTGCCCACACCCAAGAATCGCGAAAAAAGATTTTTATAAAAAAAAATGACGATCTCCCTCTCCTAAAAGATATTGATTAATGAGTAATATTCTCAATTTATGAGTAAAATGGTATTGAATAAATAGAATTAAGTTTATGAATTGATTTCAACAAGCCAATAAAACACTAACATTGTCACTCCATTCATTTGTGACAATAATGTCGAGTTTGCCGTCATCATTGACATCGATTACAACCAAATCTCGTGGGTGCTTGCCAGTTGTGTAAGTTGCGTGTGCAGTAAACTTACCGTTGCCGGTGTTGAGGAGAACGCCGACATTGTGACTCAAATAGTTCACGACAATAATATCCGGTTTGCCGTCGTTATTAACATCGAGCACTACCACATTCAACGGGTGGGTTCCAACTGAGTAAGTTGTTTGTGCAGTAAACGTGCCATTACCTGTGTTCAGGAGAACACCGACGTTGTGATCACCAGAGTTTGTAACAATAATGTCCGGTTTGCTGTCACTATTAATATCCACCACTGCCACACCGTAAGTATTGGTGCCAGTTAAGTAAGTTGTTTGTGGAGCGAACGTGCCGTTACCAATGTTAAGGAGAACACTGACGTTGTTACTACCAGAGTTCGGCGCAATAATGTCTGGGTTGCCGTCGTTATTAACATCGACTACTGCCACATCGAACGGGGTTAAGCCAGTTAAATAAGTTGTTTGTGCAGCAAATGTACCGTTATCGATACCCAGGAGAACACCGACATTATTACTTAGAGAGTTCGGAACAATAATATCGAATTTGTTGTCGTTATTGACATCATTTATTACCACACTGTATGGATCGCCATCAGTAGAGTAAGTGGTTTGGGTAGTAAACGTACCATTGCCGATATTGAGGAGAATACGAACGTTGTGAGCATACCTGTGTGAGACAATAATGTCTGGTTGACTGTCGTTATTGACATCGAGTACTGCCACACCGACTGGCCACGTGCCAATTGAGTAAGTTGTCTGTGCAGTAAACGTACCATTATCAATGTTGAGGAAAACACTGATAGTGGCATTACCAATGTTTGCGACAATAATGTCGGGTTTACTGTCGTTATTGACATCGGCCACTGCCAAACCAAACGGACCTGTACCAGTTACATACGTTGTTTGTGCCATGTATGCTGACCTGCATTGGTCTATTGCAAAAAAAATTGTTTCTTTAATGCATGTGAAGAGATGTAGAAATAACATTCAGTTGGGTGCTTTGATTTCCCCTCGATTGTACTACAATAAGAGTCAGCGCAAGAGAAAGAAGGATGCTACCTCACTATCGACAACTTAGATAATCTCTACCATGATGAATAGTATTTCTTGTGTTTTATCTGGAGGGTGGGCGTGGGTGTATGTGAAAGTATGAGTGAGAGTGAAAAGGATAGTACCCGCACTCACCACACCCATCCTCACACTTGAGCTATGACCGAGCCCGAGCCTGAACTGAGCCCGAGAGACTCGGTACATCCCTAGATTCTCATGCGACTGGAACCGAAACAAAACTATGGCTATATCGAAAAAATATGCAGAGTGGATATGTAGTATTTTACTTACTATATACTGCTGTCGTTCTTTTTGTCTTTGTGACTATACCTGAAATATTTTAAACAAATAAAAGACATGTAATGATTAAAAATTGGTTATTGGGAAGAAGATCATTTCTCTCACTGCTAACTCTGAGAATTAGTTCTTTTCATAGAAGGTGATCGTTATTTTCAACAAATAATCTATCGAACTCATTCATTCGATTTATTTATTATCTCTTACAACTACCTGTTGTTGATGTTTCCATGTTTAGTGTTGTTGTTGTTACCGTCTTTACCATCATCTTTGTTGCTTTTGTATCCGATTTTTTTGTCAAAACAATACTTACAGGTATACCAACAAGTAAAAGAATCAAAACAGTAACAATGATAATGAATTTAACACGTGTAAACTTTTTTTTTACCATGACTTCAGCTCTAAAAACAAAATCGATTTTCTTTGTTACATTTTCAATATTTAGAAAAGAAGCATACTCTGTTGTTTTTGGCAACGAATTTGATGTTTCATCTGCATTTGTCTTCATAGATTCAGACTGATCCATTAAAAATTGACAAAACAGTTTTATGTCTCGGAAAGATTGTTTCACTTTATAAAATGAACTGATATCGTTTCTTGTAAAATATATGAAAAGAGAAAAAAGATAATATATGATTTTTATTTCTATTAACTAATGTTTTCCATCTGTTATTTTAATTTCTTCATTTTTATTCTTTCAAAGATATATGTTGTCGAGAAAAACAATTTTTTATGATAATATATCATGCTACCGATATTATTTATCTTAAAAATCAGAGAAAAGCAGCCTTATGGTTGTATTTTTACTAATGAATATTAAATACTGACGTGGCAGAAAAGTGTTTTTCTTGTTGTTTTAAACGACGTCATTTGAATAAAGAAATTTTTTTCTCTCACTTTTTATTAAAGATTAGAGAGAAAATCTGACAAGGAATGATCTTCAACTACCAAATCATTTATGGATTCAGATTCTCCACATAAAATCAATCTCAGTGAATTATCTATAACTATTTGCTGATAAACTATGTTCTTTAATAAAGTTCATTTTTTTTCAGTTCTATATAATTAAACATTTAGATAACATTATAATCAGTGGGTGTTGTCATGAAATCCGGAAAAGGTAGAATCAGAAAAAAAAATTCTGAAAAAGAAAAATCAGGAATCAGAAAAATCTTGTATGTGAGTGGGTTAGAGGAGAGTAAGGGAGTTAAAAGCTTGTTAGCATATGCAGAAAAGCAAAAAAAAAAGACAAATTTTATTACTCATGAGATTCTCATAAGATAGAACATATTGGTGACTTGTTGCTATAGATTATCATATATAGTGGTGATCATGAGATAGAAATTGTTGAATGTAAGTTTTTTTATCGAGTTCTAGAAGAATATTTCTGTCATGTCAGATATGTCAAATGCATTTCTTAGGGTGTGAGTGTAAGTGTAGCTGTGGATTCCAACTAATGATCACGCCCATACCCACACCTACTCACACCCACACCCTTAAGATGTAACAGCTGCATCTGTGCATCGCTCTATTAGATTAATATTATATATATGTTAGTGGAAATTTGATTTGAGATTATCATCGCAGTGGATAATGTGTCAATGGTATATTTCATACAAGATTTCGTGGTAGACCGCAATTTGTTATAGCTAACCTTGATTTTAAAATAATAAAAGAAACGTTAAACTTACGGTTCATAACGCAAACAAATCTTTAATGAAAAGTAACACTATAGAAATGAAGGACTACATATATCGATGCAGTGATGATTTTTGCTGACTATTCTCGCACCACAAGTGCCTGTATCTGTTTTATGTGATTTAAATTGCTTATATCGTTAGTGCTTTTTATTTTATGTTACTGAATCTGTGTTTTTTTCAAGAAGAAAGTGGATATTTAAACTGTGAAATTATTTTTGAGCATGACTTTGCTTAGAACCGATGGTTGTTGTTATTTAAACCTAAGTACGAATATATTATATTGCAATCATGAAATAACTATTTATAACAGAGTATGATATGCCTTACGATGTTTGAAAATCTGTAATTATATTCGAAGTCGAATTAGGCAGCTACTCATCATCTGACAATTGAGATTGTTGATAATCTTATACAATTAATCTCTTAACTAAATTATAATTATTATTTATATTAATCTATTTTCTCAGTTGTTCCTAAATAAACGAGATTGAATTGATGCGTATAGTAAAATCATCTTATGCATACAATCACACCCATCCTCAATAAAATAATCATCTATTTTGCTGAACTTGTAATTGTGCAAATCAAAAACTGCTTTAAATAGAAAAATGAAAAAACATATTTTTCGAATAAAGCAAAGATATTTATTGAATACTATGAAGACAAATATACAAAAAGCTTATTGTTATTGTTTTGAATTTAAAGAAAATGTTTTTGATGGATTCTATCCGAGTAAAAGCCTTGATTAAGAAGTATCCATTGCTGTAATTTGTCTATTTCGCCGATAAAAACATTTATATACCAATTTAAATCCAATCGGAATAATAAATTGAAGTAAAATACAGATACCACTATAGATGGTGAAAATTGTACCCATAGAATCCATAATTTGGAATCGTTCTGAAGACACATACGAGCAAGTTTTAGGTTGGCAACTAGCAAAATACTTTTCATAAACAAATTCAACACCCCAATGTTCGATAAATAGTTCACTAGCAATTATTGTAAGTTTTGTCGTATTACTTGATTTAAAACGAGTTCGAGTAGAGAAAAGCGGTTGTATCGACTCAGCCAATAACATTTGAGTTATTGTATTGAGACAATCTTGGTCATATATACATTCTAGTGTTGATTCAAGCATTGATTCAAGAGGTAAACAACCAATCATCATTCCTGACACTGTCTAATTGGATCCTGAGTTCAATTCAAGAGACATCGGTTCTACACAACCTGGCATTGTCGCACAATTGCATGATGATAGATTATATTTTTCAGCTTGCATATAGATCCATCCACTAGTTGCCTCATGTGCAACTACTGGATGCCAGTTTGTAGTAAGTGCTGAAATTAAACCATTTCCAGAATACATATTCCGAATCAATTGTAATGGATAAAGAAAATTTGAGTGCATCGTGTTGAAGCAAAAATTGTTGATAGTAGTATTTCTTTTCTTTTCGAATAGATCGGGTTCAAGTATTTCAACAGTGGTTAAAGTCGAGTTCAGAAAGAGAGTAAGTTCATTACTGACAGCCATTATAGCCATTCTACACATTGCTTGTATTGCCTGAAAATGAAATATTGCCATACCTTGAAATGTACGAAGGTTTCGTTTATTATGTCGTTGATCTGTATACGAATCATATAGTAATGACATCCATTCGCCATTTGGTTCAATAAAATGACTTTTGCATACTTCGTGAAATTGTGGATTGAAATCGATAAAAGTGTGATAAGGAATAGACAAGTTAGTGCAAAGACAGTCGGCTGACTTTGGTAATTTTGCATATACATCTAATGTTGGTTTCTCTAGAGTCGTTGTATCTGTTCGATAAGACAGCATGGTAATATAAATGACACTAGCAATTATTATGATTAATAGGACGATGTATGCACGTGTCCATTTTCTTTGCGTATTTAATTCTTCATTAGATGGATTAGGCCTATCAACATTCTCGAATATATTCAGTGTCATAATGTATTGATGAGATTTTGTCCACATATTATCGATATATGTTCGAATAGGAAAATTACCTACAACCAAGTATATACTTATTACTGACATCATAAAATAAATTTTCAACAAGAGTTCTTTGAAAGTTCTGATATACAGTAAAAGCTATAGATTAGAACTGTCATCGATTGCATATCATCATACCCACATCCTTACATTAATATTCGTAAATATAAACACTGAAAATTCGAAAAAAACTCGTTGGTTTATAGATGTATATCTTTTCTTACGGCATTAATTGTCGGCATTTTAACCCTTTTCGGCAGCCAAGAGAAGATAAATAGCTAAAAAGTTTATTTTTATCCCTCATCAAAGGTCAATTTTTCGTGGGTTTTTTACAATTAAATCTGTAGATATAATCAGTTCGTCTATGTTTTCGTGTTTTACAAGTCAAAAGATTTATTTCAAAAAAAAATTACTACCTCGTTGAGTATCTTCAGATGAGCTTGTTTGTTGTGTTTGTCGACAACATTTAAGAATAAAAGATATAATAAATGGTGACATAAACTGAAGTATCATAGATACACTGGAAGTCAGACCAATAACAGTTGTCATGAGTAAAACGAAAGTACGTCGTTGATTGATTGTGTACGAACATAAATGAGGTTGACATTGTTCAAAATAGCCCATATAACTTAAGTTTTGCGACCAAGATTCAGTAAATAAATGCTTTGAAAGGAAATCAATGGTGACGTTATTTGGAAAGCGACTTGTTTGAGATAATGCTCTGAAATGATGCTGTTCGGTAAGTACATTACGAATACTGTTAACACACGATTGATTATACAAACATTGGAGTTGTGTTAATAGTAAGGAATTAACATAGAATAGAGATATGTAGAAGCCAGGTATAGGAACGTTTATTTTATTTATGTGTATATATAAAGTGGTTTGTAATACACAAATTGGGTCAAAAATAAGGGAACAGGTAATGTTGTTATCATCATACAAGTCTCTAGGAGTATCAATGTGAACTAGCACATGTCCTGTATCGTTTCTTATCGACATACCATAATTTGTGTGGAAATTATAAATAAATTGGTTAACTTTCATTGTTTGACGTGTGAATTCCAACAGATAAGAAAAGCGATTAGGTGTAACATGTTTAAAATATTTGCCTTCAGAATTCATCTGAGATATGAAGAGATCTTCGGTGATTAGATTTGGAGTGACTAATTGTCTTGCATAAATTAATTGTTTCAATCGTCTCAAAGAATAATCTCTGCGAGATGTTTCTGCATTATGCCGAATTATTGATTTTACAATACTTGGAATTATAAGACTTAGAATATTAGAAAGACCACCGTATACACTAATAATTGCAGTTATAATATAATTAATGTTGAAACGTTTTTTGATTGTATAGGAACACAATTTTGGTGCACAATGATTAAACTACAGTGAATAATTTATATTTTCAATCCATTTTTCAATGAAACCTGCTTTAACAATAGTTGACAAATTAGTATTCAGATCAAATATACTTTCTTTGTTTGCATTTAAGTATGTAAAATTTGATGATATATTATTGAAATATCGTAACAATGAATTAATCATTGTTTGATTATAAAAAGTTTTTAATGTTGATGAAAGAAGTGAATCAATTGGTCGACATCCAGTATACCATCCATCAATAATATATGAATAAGCAGACGAATAATCACTTTTGAAAAGTCTACCACCAAAGAATCCTGCGCGTGAATAACATGTGAAGAAATACCTGCAAGTACAACGATCGCCGCCAGTTTGGTAAAAAAAAACAGTTTCATCTTTAATCTCCCAAATAGATTTGTGTCCGTAATCATAATATTGATAGGCAAATTGGAAAAGAGTTGCGGTCGATGATAAAAGATCATTGCCTGTAATCATCTCACGAATAAACATTAGTTTATAATCAAATGCATCAGGCGCATTTGTCTTGAATGTGTCAATACGAGCTTGAGTTTCAGCTACAAGAAAATCTTTACTCATTAGTTTGTCACTAATAATTTCAGTATGAAAAAACAAATCAAGACCATCTTTAGTTTCTTGAATGCTTAATTGACAAAGTATAGCCAATAGCTGAAATTGTTGCACAGCGGTTGAACGAAACTCAGCATAATAATAGAAAGAATGTTCAGCTGAATGGAACAGATAATCAATCCAACGTTGCGTAACAAAATCACTTGAACAAACTTGATGATAAATCGGTTGAAGACTAATAAATTCTTTATGAGGAACGGATGTTTCTGAACAGTCACATTCTATTGAATATTTAGATGCTAATTCCGCATAGAAATCAATAGTTGGATTTTGGATTGTAATGTGTACCTCTTCCGCATATAATGATGCATAAATAGTCACGATCAGTAAACTTGTGGTAAAAGTCGAAATAAAAAACCAAGTACATAAACGTTGAATTCGAATACTAATGTTATCGGTCGCATCTGTCTCAAATAGATTGATTTCTGATATAAATTGAAAAAGACGCATCTTCTCAACTGATAATCGAAGATGTGATAGGTAACGGATGATTTCTTAACTTTTCAAAACGATGAAGATATTCGATTAACAATCTAAAAAAGTTATATATGTTAATACCTGCTACCGATTTTCATTTAATACTATTCATAAAATTATTCAAAGTATTTATAGTCGGGGATATCAACATCATATTACTTGAAATAATTTTGATTTGACCAACAGCTAATTAATCAATCAATAGAAAACTAATATCTACTAAATCAGTAAACAGTAGACTAACTAAAATATAAAGGTTAAAATGCTTAGAACCCTTTGACTCCCAGCATATTTTGTGAAAATCGTATTTCTATGTTGCAAAAAAAATACCAATAGTTCCCCTCTAGATTATAGTCAGATAAAGTAATCAAAACTACATCGAAAAATGCATTGCCGCCTGTATACAATACCGTGTATCACAACAAAGATTATCAAAAGAATAAGCCATGCATTTCCGTTGAGACTTTTTCAAATGCTAGATAGCAACAAACAGAAAAGTGATTGTACAGGAAATACGATACAATGACAGAAAATATATATGGGTAGAAAAAAAACAAGTAGCGAAGAGGAGAAGAAGGAGAGATATTTTCTAGTGTAACACTACTGAACAAACGATAAAAAGCGTTTGTAAAGGTTTACAAAAAAATACTATTTTTTGTTATACTTATGCTTTACCTCCTACTGACTAACTATTATCTACAATAAACGATGAAAAAAAATCGTTCTTTTTTTTCCTTAAATTGATATAGAAAATGTAAATTGCAGCTTCTGTTCCATGATCTTTAGTTGTTTTCCCTTTCAAAAATAACATATCCTAAAATATGATTTTACAATGCATATTTGCCGTCAACAAAACGAGGCGGAATATGATTTTTTTATGTTAATAGATTTTGTTGTTAATAATAAATCATGATCATTTTTTTTAATTATCATTAACAATAAACTTTTCATTGACAAAAGATTAGGGAGCTGTGAATCGACCCAGACTCCGTCAGGTCCAGAACTAAAAAAAAAATTTCTCGGGTTTCGCGCGGGTTCGGGTCTCACTAGAATTTTAGCAGACCCGATTTCTATGTACCTTTAAATTTAGATCAAATAGAATGGCTGAGGGTGTGGATGTGATTGAAATAAAATGCACACACTCACACCCTTCTTTTTAGTTGCATTCTCCAATAATTAACTATGAGAATTGACTTGAAGAGTAGAAAAACTGTTCTATATTTTACTGAAAACTGAACATTAAAAAATAAAAGGTTTATTTTCTTCCTCTATTCGCCTACATAATGATATCAATGGAAATTTTTTTTTGAAATATTTGCAGTAAATACAACGTTTAGATGTATCAATAAAAAAAAACAATGAATCCGTTTCCTTCTTCAAAGCTGATATGAAATGTCAGGGATTATTCACAGTAAATATAAAAAAATGTTTATGATATTAAACTTTTGTAGGAAGGATGTAAAAACAATGTGTTTCAAACAAAACCTAATGTTATTCTTGTAAAGAACACATCGAAAATCATTCCTTTACGAAGGAAATACAACGCTTCCTCAAGAATAAGATATATCGACATTATCTGTTATCTGAAATGTATTGCACAATTGATTTTATTCTTATTTTACACATTAAAAAAATGATAAGAAAAGTGAGGTTTTTGATCTTCACAATGAATCTGTAACAATATGAATATTATCGAAACACATCAAATCAATGAAAAATGAATGTATAAACAAAATAATTAGAATTCGACAGACTAATGTCACATTCACATTCAACAAAATCAACTAAAGTCACAATTTTATTATCATTAAAAATTGTTCATTATGAGAAATAATTATAATCAAACTAAGATATTAATTATTTCCTCTATATATTTTAGAAATAGGAAATACTGTAGAGAAGAAAAATAAAATAATGAGTTAGACGTGATTGACATGTACAAGAGAATAACGAAGAAAACATTATACTGAGAATGATATTGTGAGTAAATAATTGTAAAATGTTGAATATTTTCTTGACAACAACGACATTTTCTACTATTCGGTTGGAATTCAACTGGCAAAGTTAACATTTTTTTATTATGATGAGGAATTAAACTATTGAAGAAGAATTATTTAATTCTATCAAATTCAAAAATTAATATTTAAAGATTTATTTTTCTAAAAAAGAAAACTTTGCAGAATCTAAAATAAAATTGAATATTATGCAAATTTATTCGTTTTCTTAAGTGTCTAAATTTCTGTCTATTCAACTCCAAAATTCAATATATTTTATCAAATAAAAAATTTGTAATAAAAAGAGAGTGTGAGTAGAATAGTGTATAACAATACCCACATCCATACCCTAAAATCCATGCAGGCTAGATAAATATCTGAATATCGAATTCAGAAAATTTCTTTTTCATTATGTATTAGTAAAAGTATTATGATAATTTATTCTTATGACATTCAGTTTTTCCACATTTTGCTATTCGACATTTTGCTAACTTACTAATATATTGTTAAATTATCTGGAGGATAGGCGAGTGTTGATGATGTATGGAAGAGCGGTAGATAATTAAATACACGCTTATATTATGATTATAAAAATACTTTTTTAAAGAAGATTATATATTATTGCGTTTTTAATTATAGTTTCTAATGTCAATTTATTCCTGTTTTCTATTATTTTACTAGAAAATAAGTAGACTAATTTTTATACTCTATTATTTAATCGAAGTAGAAAGGTAATGGCTAAAATAGTTGAAAATGATATCAGTGAAATAAATACAGTGATTAAGTAATGCGATAGATCAAATTCCTTAGGATTAACCATTAGATCTTCTTAGAAAGAAAGACAACAAAGAATTGTGTCATATCAATATTTTGATTACTTTATTCAATTAAAAACTAAACAAAAGCAATTAATCATCCATGAGAATTCTAATCATAATATGATTAAAAATAAAATCTTTTATCTTTCGTCTTCAAATATTCTTGTAGTTTGACCGAAATTTTGTTGTTGTAAAGGTCCAATTCCTGCAGTATCTAACGTATAACAATCAAGATTAGTCAATGTCAGATGACTAAAAAGAAATTCGTTACTTTGTTGTTTTGCAAGGCTGCAGCAAAGTGTTGTGCTCCAGTATCTCCAATTTGATGCGATTCAAGACTAAGTCTAGTAAGTGCCTAAATCAAAAAATTATCATTAATAAAAATAAAATATATTGACAACATAAATGACTTGGTTTTTTTGTAAGGCATCCGCTAAGAATTGTGCTCCAATATCACTGATTATATTTGTTTTCTTATCAGCATGGTCATCATCATAATAATAAGAATCGAGTATTAGTTTGGTGAGTGTCTATACGTTAAATAATAAAAATAGGTAACACTGAAAATAAATAATCACTTTGTTGTTTTGCAAAGCATCGCCAAGATATTTAGCCCCGCTATCTCTAATTTGATTTTTTGAAAGATCAATCGAAGTGATTGTCTATTCAAAACAGAATGATTATTACTAATTAAATCAGTCAAAAATATTTTTTACCGTATTGTTTCGTAACATATCAGATAAATATTGTACTCCAATATGGCTTATTTCATTATGCCATAGATTCAATTCTGTGAATGTCTATTTCACAATGAGAAATCTAATTAATACTTGAATAAATTGAGATAATAAATTACTATGTTATTTTGTAAAGCATTAGCTAAATGTTGAGCCCCAGTGTCTCCAATATGATTCCCCGAGAGATCCATCATAGTAATCATCTGTGTCAAATGAAAAAAAAATAATCATTAGTCATACGAAATTATAAAATAAATTTCACCTGGTTCGTCTGTAATAGATCGCTTAAATATTTTGTACCAATATGTCCTATTTGATTCATTGAAAGTTTTAGTATCGTCAATGTCTGTGAGAAAATACAAAGTTCACTATAATAAAAACTGATACAAGTTATTAATCACTCTATTGTTTTGTAATGCATCAGCTAAATATTTTGTTCCAATATCTCCGATTTTATTCTCCGAAAGGTCCAACTCAATGATTGTCTACATCACGAGGAAACTATGATCATTAATGGAACAAATATAGAAATGATGTTACTTCGTTGTTGATTAGTGCATCAGTCAAAAATTTCATCCTAATTTCATCAGTAGTTTTCCTACAAAGATCCATTTTAGTGATTGTCTTCAAAAAAAGGTAAACACTGGTAAGAAGGAATTTGAAAGAAACGAATTACTTTGTCATTTCGTATTTGAATTGCTGCGCTCACAATTATACAGTAGCTACCAGGATTTCCTTTGAGGTTTAATTCGAGAAGTGTCTATACCGAAGAATGACGATACTTAAGATAAATGAGAAATGTTGAAGATTTACTTTGTTTTCTTTTAAAGTATCATTGAGATATTGCATTCCATTGTTTCCAATTTGATTGTAGGAGAGTTCGAGGATAGTGAGCACCTATGCAGGAAAAGTAAAAATTATTATGATATCAAATGTGAGTGAGCTATCACTTTGTTATTTTTTAATGCATCAGCTAAATATTGTACTCCAATGTCACTTATTTTATTTGTCATAAGGTTCAACTTAGTGATTGCCTATATCACAAGAAAAACAATAATCATTAGGATAAATAAACCTTGAATAAATATCACTTGATTCGTTTGTAATACATTAGCTAAATACTTTGTTCCAATATCTCCAATTCTATTTTCGGAAAGGTCCAACTCAGTGATTGTCTATGTCACCGGGAAAAAAATCATCATTAGAATAGATAAACCTAAATGAAATCTTACTTGATTCGTTCGTAATGCATCAGTCAAGTTTTTAGTTCTAATATCTCCGATTTTATTCTGAGAAAGGTCCAACTCAATGATTGTCTATATCACAAGGAAACTTTGATCATCAACGGAATAAATAGAGAGACGATGTTACTTCATTGTTGGTTAGTGCATCAGTCAAAAATCTCATTCTACTATCATTGATCTTTTCCGATCGAAGATTCATTTTAGTGAGTGTCTTTAGAAAAAGGTAAACATTTGTGAGAAGAAATTTGGAAGAAACGAATTACTTTATCATTTCGTATTTGAATTGCTGCGCTTACAATTATACAATAACTACCAAGATTGTGTTTGAGGTTCAATTTAATAAGTGTCTATACCAAAGAATGATGATACTACAGATAAATGAGAAGTGTCTAAGGTTTACTTTGTTTTCTTTAAAGGCATCATTAAGATATTGCATTCCATTGTTTCCGATTCGATTGTAGGAGAGGTCTAGATTGGTAAGTGTCTGTGTATAAAGTGAGAAATAAATATAACTTTTAAATAAATGTGAGAAATATCTTACTTGATGGTTTTGTAGTGTGGCAGCCAAATACTGTGCTCCAATGTCACCAATCTCATTACGTGAAAGATCAACTGTAATTAATGTCTGAATGATAGATAACACTTGAATTTCAGTGTAATGAATTTGAAAAATATGTCACTTTGTAGTTTAGTAACGCCACAGCTATATGTTGTACTAGATTATCTCCAATTCGATTGCAGGAAAAATTTAATTCAAAGGATGTCTACGTGAAAACATAACAATATACATCATGAAATGCAACGGGGGATGAAGGATTATAGATGGAATGGGCACTGAGACGCGTCACAGAAGATTGTGACCTATATGATCTTGTGTAAAATATGATTAAGATCTATTCATATTTTGTTGTGCAACTAAAATGATATACTTCGTTTATTCTATTTGACTGAGAATGAAAGCGTACTTGACGAAACGCCTATATGGCGTATGTGTTCAAGGATTTCCTTATCTGTAACGCATATGATTATTCTTATACGTATGAGCAGGTTGTATCAGACTTACGTTTTCTATGGTATGATAGCTTCTATTGTAACTCGTACATAAAAGTAAGCGACATTTAGAGTTTATTAACGGTAATTCAAATATAGGAGATTGGTCTGTGACAAAAAGCTTCATCCAGAATGGTACTGTTGTATAGAGTATAATTTTCGATTCTCGTACAAGATAATCACAAGTAGCAAACCATTTTTTGTTGTTGAGCCAGAATGGACTTTGAAATGGCAAGAGAAGTGAATCGAGAGTAGCGATGTTATTCAATTTCTCGCCTTTACAAGTGAGGGAAAGTTGAAATTGATTCAGTAAAAGTAGTTTCTTTTGAATGAGTTGTTCCCAATATGAACCATCGAATATCGAATCAAGTTTCGATCTAAATGAAACCAGTTTCAGATGATTAAGTGATGGTGTCAATGAAAGAAGGCATTCAAGTTCTTGGGTCGATAGTTGGCAGTGATCAATAGTCAATGAAACCAATTGCGGATACACTGTTAAATTAGAACATAGAGTATGTATTATTTTTGGTGATCTATTCTTCTGACATATTTCAAAGAAACTGAGCCTTACAAGTTGTTGACACAGATGATTGAAGTTTGTTTAAATTGTGTTTAATTTTCTTTCATAAAAAAATTAATAGATAGTCAAAAATTGAGTCTATTTCATTTTTTACTAGTACACCTGATTTTGATTGAAAATTAAAAATGTTGCAAAACATGATGCGCTAAAAAATGTTCAAATGAAGATGAGGGAAAGTAAAAATGTTTTTCTTCGATATGTTTACTCCATAAAATATTTAGGTAAATATTTTTCACTGATAGCTATTGATTTCATCGAAAATGGGGACGAAGGCAAGATACAACTAGTTATATCTATCTCTGTATTATTATTATAATAGCTTAAGAGTTCATTTTACAGTGCGGGTACACTATTAGGGAGCTGGGACTTTTATCCGAGAAGTTTTCTGGTCAGACTGTGAGCCTCGTCCGAACTTTAAGTATCTAAAACGAATTACTAACTATACAATGAAATAGATGATGTTTGAAAGATGCATATTTAACTCTACCTGTAGAATCAAATGTTGTAAGTGCATATGAAGAAACCGTTGGATCAATATTGTCCATAATACAATCTCTAATAACAAGTGTTCTTAAACGGAGTGAGTTACAGAGAATGATACGATATTGGTGATAAGAACAATCTCCGATTGTCATTTGTTCTAATGTACTTTGAATAGGCCACGCTATTTGATTAGTTGTATAATCTAGATGAATTAAACGTAGTTTTTGAAGTTTGGTTTGAGCGACAATTAAAAAAATAGTTGAGAAGACTGTATTATCTGCTTGCTCATACATACTGACTGTCAGTGAGACTAAAGAATTGATGGTAACATGCTGAAAAAATTTGTTCATTTGATTGCATTTGATTCCATGAAAGGCCAATGAACGAAGTCTAGTGAATTGGCTAATGTTAAAATTTGCGAGAAAAAATTCGATGTACTCTTGGTCGATAGAGCCATCGCAAAACATCAGTGAAGTGACGTTAAAAGGTTGAACGACACGAGAGATAATTTTAAAGGAAGAATTTTTCTGTAAACTGGAGCTGACAATTGAACGGAAATCGAGTTGAAAACGATTATAGGAGTTGACAACCGCATGAAGTTGTCTGCAAATCGAACGGATTGAAAGAACAATGGTGTAAGCATCGAGGTGATCAAAGATACGATGCAGAAGTTCAACAGGCAAACAGACAAGCGGTGAGTTTGACATTTATCTAAAAACTTAGAATAAATTACAAAGTCCTAGACTAAGCGGTCATATCTCTTTTTTTTACAATGATTTAAATGTAAAACTTACCTAAACGAAATAATTTAAACCGAATGATTTGAAAAAATTCTAATAGTTTATAAATTTCGAACAGTATTGTGTGTGTGTATGACTGAATGTTTTTTTCGTTTGTTTTATGAAGTAACGATAGTTGCCGTTTTTTTTTCTTTTTTTTCCAATAACGCATTTTATTGTGAAAGAAAGAGAAAAAGAATTCATATGAAATAAATCGGATTTAAGTGCTGTACAATTAATCATCGGTGATATAAAACTATAGTCTTCTTAGTAGAAAATAAATATCTCTTCGAAAAACAAGCAAAAAGAATCTGATGATATAGACGGAATTATGTTGTTCGCGGGTGTGGGTGTGGATTTGAATGTGAATATTCTATTTGATATATATACACTCAGATCTACACCCTCATTAAATCTCTGATTCATAATCACAATCTAGAAATGCTATTTCTTTCAAAATTTAGAATATCATGATGAAAAATATGTATTGAGAAAAAAGAAAATTTTATTGCTGTTGACAGCGAACACTCTCTGGATGTTGATCAGAATCATGGTCTTCATCTTCTTCCTGATGATCATTTTGAAAGTTTTCTCTCGTCATATCACATTTAACCATTTCAGGTCGTTCATAACGATCTGTACTATTCAATTGAACTCGTTTCTTTGGTGGAAGAATTGATTCTAATTGCTAACAAAAAATAAAAAACAACATTGATTAAAATCTAAATGAAAACCAATGAATAACTTACTTGACGCTGATTATCAGTTAAATGAAAATGATTTTCATCAGGAAATTTGACATCAAATTGAATAATCAAATCTCCATGTGAATGTGTATGTCTATTTGGCATTCCATGACCTTTTAAACAACGATAACTATCCGGTAAAATAGGTTTTCCAGGAGGATGATCAATTAAAATTTGATGACCATCTAATAATTCAATTAAACGTTGAAAACCACATAAACATTCAGTTAAATTGATATCCATATTCATTAGCAAATCATTATCTTTTCGAGTAAAAATTTCATGAGGTGCTTGTTTAAGAATAATATATAATGTTCCTGGTATTCCATTTGGCTAAAATGAAATCAAAACTACATGAAAAATTTTAGTTTTTTTATTTTCAAAACTTACAATTTGATGAGCTTCACCAGGATATCTAATTATTTCAGAATTTCTACTACCTGGTACAATATTCACTTCAATGATCTTTTCTTCTCGAACAATTTTTTTTCCAAAACATGCTTTACATTGATTCTTTGAATCGATAATATTTCCAGTTCCATCACACATCAAACATTCACGTCTTATTTGTTGAACAAATGGGCCTATTCGTTGCATTGATGTTTCAACTCCTGTTCCATGACAATTTGTACATTCACGTGAAATGCCATTACGAGAACCCGAACTATTTTAGAATAAATAAAAAGAGTTCTTTTTTTCCTAAGGGAAAATTCTCTACATACCCTGTACAATTGTTACAAACAATATTACGTTCAATGACAGCAACTCTTGTACTACCCGAATACAATTCTTCGAGAGAAACTCTGAAAAACAAAAATTTTACAAAAATTGAAAAAAAAATATTTTTTTTATTACTGGAGAACATGTTTTATATCATCGCCCTCGTTTGTTTGAGCAGTGTTTTGATGATTTGATCCACGATTAAATAAATTAAATATATCAAAAACTAAATATAACAAAAATATGTGTAACATTGAACAAAATCTTTTATTTAAACATACTATCATTGTGAAAACCTGGAAATTGAAAATCTTCTCTTTCCATTCTCGATTGCATTCCTTTTAATCCATATCGATCATAGATTTCACGTTTTTCAGGATCAGTTAAGATTTCTTTTGCTGCATTTACTTGTTGCATCTAAATATGAAAAAAAATAAATCTTCTATATCTATTTTATTTAAATAAATTTACCATTTCATGACTTCCACCACGATCAGGATGATGTTCTAATGATTTTCTTTTCACAGCCTTATTAAAATAAATTTCATTTTTTTAATCACAAAATATTACATCATAGAAATCTTACTTTCGAAATTGTTTCTTGTGATGCATTGGGTTCGACATTAAGTACATCATATAGAGTTTTATCGACTACCATTCTTCTTCCTAGTTATCTAAGTGAAAATGATAAAAAAAATTTATCGATTATATATAACGAATGTTGGTTTTTTCCTAGATGACTCATGTGATACGTTAACGACAACTAGTGAATCATGTTTTGTGAAGAAAGAAAAGAAATTATCTCGATCGAAGGAGTGAATAAAATATTTTGCATACCTTCTAAACAAAAAGAAAAAAAGTTAATGTTTTTACACGTTGCAAAGAAAAAACAAGCGAGAAAAATTTAATATTTTACAATATATTTTTCTTTAAAATATATGTGTGCTGAAATTTCAATAGAGTTTGTCATTGTAAATGCATTCATATATGCTTGCGATTTCAAAATACTATCAGAAGAATTTGAATTTGATACCAACAGCTCACTCAAAGCGTATTTTCATCCAACTAATGTGTAGATTTTTTTGGTGAAGCCAGAAACAAACGCCTTACAGAATCACTTCTATACAGAATGACTCGAAAAAAATATTTTTTTTCTTCTGATGATAAATTATACTTCGACAACATAGAATCTATTAGTATGATTGTTTTATGTTATTTTTAAAAAATAATTCACTTTGAAAAAAAAGAAAAATAAATTGAAGTCTACTCAACAAAAAAACACATACACATTACTTATTTCGTAGCTATATGTACATATTAATCTAGCTAATTTCTCTCGTATGATGTGAAAAACAATGCTGGAATAACTTAATCATTCTATCACCTGTAATACACTAAATTTTCTTTTTTTTATCAGATTGAAAAAAAAATCATATCAAAATATCTTTATAACGATTTAGAGTTAAATACGTCACTAATTGTCAAAACTGAGGCACAAAATAACTTCAAATAATAATTCTTTGAATTCTAATAGATTAACAAATAACGAAGAAAAACATTGACAACTGACGACAACTATTAATGGTTATGTACATCAAATATAGAAAAAGGGTATTGTATGGATTAATGGACTTCAGTTATGCTTAATTTACATGACTTATTTTGATGCATAGTGTATCGCCATGCTGCGGATTGATGATGCGATGAAAGAAAGGAAGGAAAAAAACTTCCATCTCACGATAAATATCGTTTGGTTGCCTTAATGATATGTTATTAATTGGTAATAATACTATTACTGATCGAAATCAAAGCAATCTATTTTTTATATATTTGTCAAGCGAGAGAAAAACAAGTATATCTACTCATACAAACAATCAGTCATTTATTTTCTAGTTTTTTTCGTGTAACGTCGTATCTATCCGTATGTAAGTGATAAGCGAAGGATTTTAATATTTTTTACTTTTCGAAATTTTTCGTCAGTTGACCTACAATTGTATGTTACACAAGAAAATAAAATAAGATCGCATTCTTCTTTTCAAATTAACTGCTTCATCGTTTCTTACTTGACACAGCTTGACATTTAGGCTGTAATAAAACTAGAAAAATCTAAAATACTTTTCGAACAATCGAAACATACAAATTCGATCTAAAGATTTAATAAGAAATTGATCCAGCGATCGATAAAGCATTCTAGAATATCAGTTGACAGTTTTTGACTATGTCTACATACAGAATATTTTTGACAATGTTTTTCGTAAGGAAAATATCGTCAATTGGGAAAATGAAGAAATGACGTTAAAATAGGGGTTCCGTACGATTTGGCAAAACCAGAAGAGAACAGTTAGTTTATTATATAATGTGGATCTAAAATGTTTCAATTATTGTATTGTTTTTCATTTTTCCTTAGACTTATTTAAGATTTAAAATTATATATAAACGAATGGCTGCTATGGTTATGGACAATATTTCTAAGATAAAGAATAAAATCAATCCGTATTTGCAAAACAATTCGATTAGTCCTATTTTCGACCATATCGAGCAGAAAATACAACTACAACGTTCATTAATTGCTCTTAGTATGTTGTTATCATTCTTCTACTCTTGTTTCATCATTCTGTTCGCGTAGGTGTTATTGGCATTTTAGCTATCTATTTGGTAATCGGCTGGAACAATGACTTTCTCTGTAATTTCATTGGAATTCTTTATCCTGTCTATGCTTCGTAAGTTGTATTTCATGTACATATCTTTCATACGATTAGAACGGAAATTTCTCTTAATCATGAACTGAAAATTATTTTCAGTACTCAAAAATCAGATTCGCACGCGAATTTCTAGTATTTAGAATCTCATTGCATCATAATGTTGAAATCGTACATTAATCAGATGGGTTTCTATCAGATTCATTGATAAGCTTCGAACATGAGACAGGTGAAAATCGAGATGTTATAGAATTTTTTTAATATCCAAACCACACAAAATCATTTTTACTTCGACATACTTCATTTAGTGATATGGAATCAAAGGCAATATTTTCCTTATAAGCTTCAA